CTTTCATCTTCTTCCTTTTCTTCTCCTTCTTCCACCTTCTTCTTCATCATCTCCTCCTCCTCCATCTCTTCCTATTCCTCCTTCTCTTATTATTACTCCGATAACGGAACTCTGTGGGATCGACCAGGGATCGAGCAAGGCGGCCGCCCACAGATGCAACACAACATCAACATCAAGGATCTCGAGAAGGAAAGTAAGTCTTTATTGCACGCCATGTTGCATAGATTCACACTGTCAAATAAATGCAATCCGACACTGCTTCAACTGCCATGGTTCAATGCAACAGTAGTCCAAATACTATCGAGTGTACACTACATCTATGTATATAGTAAACTTGTGTCATCAAGGTGTGGACTGAAGCCATACAAGTTATTTCCTTTTATTTATTCTTTTTGCACTTTTTGGTGTACTTTTTCTTTACTTTTTTTTCAACTTATACTTATTGCACATTTCGCATCCTCTTATTGCACTTTTTCTTTATTCTTTACATTGGTTGCACTTTTTCTTTGTTCTTCATTCACTTTATTCTTATTGTACTTTTTCTTTACTTTTATTGCACTTTATTCTTATTGTACTTCATTCTTATTGCACTTTTTCTTTACTTTTAATGCACTTTATACTTATTGTACCTTTTCTAAACTTTTTCTTTACCTTCATTGCCCTTTTTGTTACGTGTTGTATTTTATTCTTATTGTACTTTTCCTTTATTTTTATTGCACTTTTAAAGTTTTATTTCACTTTTCTTTACTTGTGTTGTACGTTATTCTTATTGCACATTTTGTATACTTTTATTTCACTTTTTGCTTTTATTGCATGTTTCCTTTACTTGTGTTGTACTTTATTCTTATTTCACATTTTCTTTTCTTTTCTTGCATTTTAAAAACTTTTATTTCACTTTTTAGACTTGTACTTTATTCTTATTATACATTTTACTCTTATTTCACTTTTTACTGTTATTGCACTTTCATTATTTTTTCTTTCCTTGTACTTTATTATTTCACTTTTCATCACTTTTATTGCACTGTTTCTTTACATTTATTGTACTTATTTACTAGTGTTGTACTTTATTATTGCACTTTTTCATCACCTTTTATTGCACATTTTCTTTATTTTCATTGCACTTTTTCTTTACTTTTGTAGCACTTTTTCTTTACTTGTGCTATACTTTATTATTTTACTTTTCATCACTTTTATTGCTCATTTCCTTTCCTTGTGTTGTACTTTATTCTTATTGCACATTTTCATCACTTTTATTGCACTTTTCTCTACTTTTTTGCACTTTTTCTTTCCTTGTGTTATACTTTATTCTTATTGCACTTTTTATTTACTTTTATTGCAGTTTTTCTTTCCTGTATTGTACTTTATTCTTATTTCATTTTTATCTGCTTTTATTGCACTTTTTAACTTTTATTTCACTTTTTCTTTTCCTTGTGTCTTACTTTATTCTTCTTGCATATTTTCTCTACTTTTATTGCACTTTTTCTCTACTTTTATTGCACTTTTTATTTACTTTTATTATTATTTCATTATTTGTACTTTATTGTTAAACATTTTTTACTTTTATTGCACTTTTTCTTTCCTTGTGTCGTACTTAATTCTTATTGCATATTTTCTCTACTTTTATTGCACTTTTCTCTAGTTTTATTGCACTTTTTCTTTACTTTTATTACACTTTTTCTTTTCTTGTGTTATACTTTATTCTTATTGCACCTTCTCTTTACTTTTATTGCACTTTTTCTTTACTTTTATTGCCCTTTTCCTTTCCTTGTGTGCGTACTTTGGTCTTCTTGCATATTTTCTCTATTTTTATTGCACTTTTTATTTTATTGCACTTTTTATTTTAATGCATTTCATTATTTGTACTTTATTGTTGCACTTTTATTTACTTTCATTGCACTTTTCCTTTCCTTGTGTCTTACTTTATTCTTCTTGCATATTTTCACTACTTTTATTGCACTTTTCTCTACTTTTATTGCACTTTTAATTTACTTTTATTGCATGATTTCACTACTTTTACTTTATTGTAGCACTTTTTCTTTACCTTTATTGCACTTTTTGTTACTTGTGTCGTACTTTATATTCTTATTGCACTTTTTCTTTACTTTTATTGCATGATTTCATTATTTGTACTTTACTGTTGCACTTTTTAAACTTTTATTGCACTTTTTCTTTCCTTGTGTTGTACTTAATTCTTATTGCATATTTTCTCTACTTTTCTTTCACTTTTCTTTACTTTTATTGCACTTTTTCTTTACTTTTATTGCAATTTTTCTTTCCTTGTGTTATACTTTATTCTTATTGCATGTTTTCTCTACTTTTATTGCACTTTTTCTTTACTTTTATTGCATGATTTCATTATTTTTACTTCATTCTTACACTTTTCTTTACTTTTATTGCCCTTTTTCTTTCCTTGTGTCGTACTTTATTCTTCTTGCATATTTTCTCTACTTTTATTGCACTTATTTACTTTTTGCACTTTTTTTCCTTGTACTTTATTATTGCACTTTTTCTCTACTTGTATTGCAATTTTTATTTACTTTTATTGCACTTTTTCCTTGTGTTGTACTTTCTTCTTATTGCACATGTTCTCTACTTTTATTGCATTTTTTCTTTCCTTGTATTGTACTTTATTCTTCTTGCACCTTCTCTTTACTTTTATAGCACTTTTTATTTACTTTTATTGCATGATTTCATTACTTGTGTTGTACTTTATTGTTTCACTTTTTCTTTACTTTTATTGTACTTTTTCCTCACTTTTATTGCCCTTTTTCTTTCCTTGTGTCTTACTTTATTCTTCTTGCATATTTTCTCTACTTTTATTGCCCTTTTCCTTTCCTTGTGTTGTACTTTATTCTTCTTGTCCCTTCTCTTTAACTTTTATTGCACTTTTTCTTTACTTTTATTGAATGATTTCATTACTTGTGTCGTACTTTATTGTTGGACTTTTTCTTTACTTTTATTGCACATTTTCTGTGTTGTACTTTCTTCTTATTGCATATTTTCTCTACTTTTATTGCACTTTTTATTTACTTTTATTGCATGATTTCACTATTTCTGTTGTACTCTATTGTTGCACTTTTTCTTTACTTTTATTGCCCTTTTCCTTTCCTTGTGTCTTACTTTATTCTTCTTGCATATTTTCTCTACTTTTATTGCACTTTTTATTTACTTTTTTGCACTTTTTGTGTAGTACTTTATTCTTATTACATATTTTCTCTACTTTTATTGCATTTTCTTTACTTTTTTGCACTTTTTCTTTCCTTGTTTTGTACTTTATTCTTATTGCACTTTCTCTTTACTTTTATTGCACTTTCTCTCTCCTTGTGTCTTACTTTATTCTTCTTGCATATTTTCTCTACTTTTATTGCACTTTTTATTTACTTTTATTGCATGATTTTATTACTTGTACTTTATTGTTGCACTTTTTCTTTACTTTTATTGCACTTTGTCATACTTTCTTCTTATTGCACCTTCTCTTTACTTTGCTCATTACTTTGCTTCCACTTCCTCATTTCCCTTTCCCTTATTTCCTGATTCCCTATGTCATTCTTGTTGCACTTTTCCCTTTATTGATCTTTTCCTACCTAATCTTTGCATTGCAGTTTCTTGATTGCACTTTTTCCCCCTTTTAATATTGAATTCACCTTATTCCTTATGGTCCTTTTACCATTTATCCATCCCCCCTTCTTCCAAAACCATTTCCCCCCTTTGAATGTTTTTACATTCTTCCTTATGGTCCTTTTGTCTATTATCCATCCCTCCCCCTTCTAAAACTATTTCCCCCTTTTAATATTGACTTCACATTATTCTTTATGGTCCTTTAATCTATTATCCATCCCCTCCCTTCTTCCAAAACCATTTCCCTCCTTCTCATGGGCGTGCTTTCTTCCTTCCTGCCTTCCCTTCCCAGGAATTCGAGCAGGAGGCGTGGCTTTGGGAAAAAGAGCGAATCCCCGCCCCTTTGTGGGCGTGGCTTGCTGCCCGCCAGCTCTGATTGGCCCGCTCTGCCTTTCCCTTCCCAAGCATTCGAGCAGGGGGCGTGGCTTTGGCGAAAAGAGCGAAGCGCCGCCCCTTAGTGGGCGTGGCTTGCTGCCCGCCAGCGCTGATTGGCCCGCTCTGCCTTCCCTTCCCAGGCATTTGAGCGAAAAGAGCGAAGCACCGCCCCTTAGTGGGCGTGGCTTGTTGCCCGCCAGCGCTGATTGGCCCGCTCTGCCTTCCCTTCCCAAGCATTCGAGCAGGGGGCGTGGCTTTGAGGAAAAGAGCGAGTCCCCGCCCATAGTGGGCGTGGCTTGCTGCCCGCCAGCTCTGATTGGCCCGCTCTGCCTTCCCTTCCCAAGCATTCGAGCGAAAAGAGCGAAGCACCGCCCCTTTGTGGGCGTGGCTTGTTGCCCGCCAGCGCTGATTGGCCCGCTCTGCCTTCCCTTCCCAGGCATTTGAGCGAAAAGAGCGAAGCACCGCCCCTTTGTAGGCGTGGCTTGTTGCCCGCCAGCGCCGATTGGCCCGCTCTGCCTTCCCTTCCCAAGCATTCGAGCAGGGGCGTGGTTTTGGGGAAAAGAGCGAGTCCCCGCCCCTTTGTAGGCGTGGCTTGCTTTCCGCCAGATTGGCCCGCTCTGCCTTCCCTTCCTAGGCATTTGAGCGAAAAGAGCGAAGCACCGCCCCTTTGTGGGCGTGGCTTGTTGTCTGCCAGCTCTGATTAGCCCGCTCTGCCTTTCCTTCCCAAGCATTCGAGCAGGGGGCGTGGCTTTGGCGAAAAGAGGGAAGCACCGCCCCTTGTAGGCGTGGCTTGTTGTCCGCCAGCGCTGATTGGTCCACCCTTTCTGAGGGGCGTGGCTTGATGTCCGCCAGATTGGCCCACTCTGCCTTCCCTTCCCAGGCATTCGGGCAGGGGGCGTGGCTTTGGCGAAAAGAGCGAAGCACCGCCCCTTTGGGGGCGTGGCTTGCTGTCTGCCAGCGCTGATTGGTCCGCCTCTTCTGAGGGGAAGAGGCGTCGTCGTCCTGCTCGGAAACGCCTCCGGGCGGAAACCGGTGCCGGGCTCTTGGAGTTCCGGGGTGGCCGAAGCGGCGAGAAGGGACGAGCGTGGCGCAGAGAGAGAGAGACACACAGAGGGAGACAGAGAAGCGGAGGACGCGCGCGGATTGGCTCAATCCCCTCGTCACGGAGAAGGGGCGGGGCCTAAGCCAGGATTGAGGCTCCGCCCCCTGGCTCTCTCTCTCTCTCCGCGAAGGAAGGCCCAGGTAAGCTCTCCTCACAACTTTCGAGACCCCCAAAGCCCCGCCCCTTTCGAACGCTCGGGCCTGGCTCCGCCCACCGAGTCAAAGAGAAGGGTCTCGCTGCCCCCTCGCCCCGCCCACGGCCCCCCCGCTCCTTTAACTCCGCCCCTTTCGAACGTTCAGGTGTTTTGTTGTGTTTTGGAGGTGCGCGCGCAACTTTGTCTGGGCCCAGGCCTCTCGCCCCGCCCCTTACCCTTGGGACTCCGCCCCTTTTTGATAAAGAAGCCACGCCCCCTCCAGACCACCTAACTTCTGCCATGCTCATCAGGGGTTAGGGGATGATGGGGCTTGTAGTGTGTGGGGACTGGAGGAAGCAGTGGCTGGGGATGATGGGCTTTGCAGTGGCTGGGAATCTCCTCATTCTTAGGGGGTGATGGGCTTTGTAGTGGTTGGCTACTCCTGGTTCTTTATGGGGATGATGGGCTTTGCAGTGGTTGGACACTCATTCTTATGGAGATGATGGGCTTTGCAATGGCTGGGAATCTTCTCCTGATTCTGTTTCTCATGGGGATGGTGGGATTTGCAGTGGTTGGAGACTCCTGATTTTTCTATTTATGGAGATGATGGGCTTTGGAGTGGCAGGGAAGCTCCTCTTCATTCTTATGTAGTGGTTGGAGACTCATTCTTTTTATGGGGATGATGGCCTTTGGAGTGGCTGGGAAGCTCCTCTTCATTCTTATGGGGTTGATGGACTTCATAGTGGTTGGAGACTCCTGATTCTTCTATTTATGGAGATGATGGGCTTTGCAGTGGCTGGGAAGCTCCTCTTCATTCTTATGGGGTGATGGGCTTCATAGTGGTTGGAGACTCCTGATTCTTCTATTTATGGGGATGATGGGCTTTGCAGTGGCTGGGAAGCTCCTCTTCATTCTTATGGGGTGATGGGCTTCATAGTGGTTGGAGACTCCTGATTCTTCTATTTATGGGGATGATGGGCTTTGCAGTGGCTGGGAAGCTCCTCTTCATTCTTATGGGGTGATGGGCTTCATAGTGGTTGGAGACTCCTGATTCTTCTATTTATGGGGATGATGGGCTTTGCAGTGGCTGGGAAGCTCCTCTTCATTCTTATGGGGTGATGGGCTTCATAGTGGTTGGAGACTCCTGATTCTTCTATTTATGGAGATGATGGGCTTTGCAGTGGCTGGGAAGCTCCTCTTCATTCTTATGGGGTGATGGGCTTTGTAGTGATTGGAGACTCCTGATTCTTCTATTTATGGGGATGATGGGATTTGCAGTGGTTGGACACTCATTCTTATGGAGATGATGAGCTTTACAATTCCTGGGAATCTCCTCCTGATTCTTTTTCTCAAGGGGATGATGGGCTTTGTAGTGGCTGGGAAGCTCCTCCTCATTTTTATGGAGATGATGCGCTTTGTAGTGGTTGGAGACTCCTGATTCTTCTTTTTATGGGGATGATGGGCTTTGCACTGGGTGGGAAGCTGCTCCTCATTCTTATGAGGATGATGGGAACTCCTGATGTTTCTATTTATGGGGATGATGAGCTTTGCAGTTGTTGGAGACTCCTGATTCTTCTATTTATAAGGATGATGGGCTTTGGAGTGGCTGGGAATCTCTTCATTCTTTATGGGGATGATGCGCTTTGCAGTGGCTGAGAATCTCCTGTTCCTTTTTCTCATGGGGATGATGGGCTTCTCAATGGCTAGGAATCTCCTCATTCTTATGGGGATGATGGACTTTGTAGTGGTTGGAGGCTCTTGGTTCTTCTTTATGGGGAGGATGGGCTTTGCAGTGACTGGGAATCTCCTCCTCATTCTTATGGGGGTAATGGGCTTTGGAGTGGCTGGGAATCTCCTCATTCTTAGGGGGTGATGGGCTTTGTAGTGGTTGGAGACTCCTGATTCTTCTGTTTATGGAGATGATGGGCTTTGCACTAGGTGGGTATCTCCTTTGTAGTGGCTGGAGACTCATTGCTTTTATGGGGATGATGTGCTTTGCAGTGGCTGGGAAGCTCCTCCTCATTCTTATGGGGGTAATAGGCTTTGTAGTGGTTGGAGACTCCTGATTCTTCCATTTATGGAGATGATGGGCTTTGTAGTGGTTGGAGACTAATTCTTTTTTATGGGGATGATGGGCTTGGGAGTGGCTGGGAATCTCTTATGGAGATGATGGTGACTCCTGATTCTTCTATTTATGGGGGTGATGGGCTTTGGAGTGGCTGGGAACCTCCTCATTCTTATAGGGGTGATGGGCACTCCTGATGTTTCTATTTATGGGGGTGATGGGCTTTGTAGTGGTTGGAGACTCCTGATTCTTCTTTATGGGGATGATGGGCTTTGCAGTGGTTAGGAATCTCCTCTTCATTCTTATGGGGGTGATGGGCTTTGTAGTGGTTGGAGACACCTGATTCTTCTGTTTATGGAGATGATGGGCTTTGCAGTGGCTGGGAATCTCCTCTTCATTCTTATGGGGGTGATGGGCTTTGTAGTGGTTGGAGACTCATTCTTTTTATGAGGAGGATGGGCTTTGGAGTGGCTGGGAAGCTCCTCCTCATTCTTATGAGGATGGTAGGCTACGTAGTGGTTGGAGACTCATTGTTTTTATGAGGATGATGGGCTTGGGAGTGGCTGGGAATCTCTTATGGGGATGATGGGGACTCCTGATTCTTCTATTTATGGGGATGATGGGCTTTGCAGTGGTTGGAGACATTCTTATGGGGATTATGGGCTTTGCAGTGGTTGGAGACTCATTCTTCTTATGGAGATGATGGCCTTTGCAGTGGTTGGAGACTCTTGATTCTTCTATTTATGGGGATGATGGGCTTTGCAGCAGTGGTTGGAGACTCATTCTTATGGGGATGATGGGCTTTGCAATGGTTGTAGACTCATTCTTATGGGAATAATGGACTTTGCAGTGTTTGGAGACTCCTGGTTCTTCTTTATGGGGGTGATGGGCTTTGCAGTGGCTGGGAATCTCCTCCTGATGCTTCTTCTTATGGAGTTGATGGGCTTTGGGTGGAAACCTCCTTGTTCATATGGGGATGATGGGCTTTGCAGTGAATGGCAATCTCCTGATCCTTATTATTATTAGATGTATTTTTCTTTCCTTCAAGGAGACATAGGCCGCGATGCTGCCCTTCCTTATATTCCAGTTTCGGATTCATGCCTGTAACATAAAAAAAAGCAAAACAACGACACTCCTACATATGTACATACATGTAAACATACGCAACTGGCTACAGCATTTCTTTCCATCACTTTAGAAACACGCCTCAGTTGAGTCTCCAAAGAGGGTCGGTTGCAACGTCTCCTTCCCAGACGTTGCCTTCAGAGAAGCCCTTTGGCCCCGGTGTTTCTCTTTGCCCGCTTTCTTGAACTTTAACTTTCCTCCCGAGGTGTGCTGCTCGCCTCCAGCTTTTGTTGCAATCCTTAATTGGATCCTTTTAATTGCTAGACTCAAAACACTTTCCCTCTCGGCTTCTTCTCAGGCCTTCCGGGGTGTATTTGTAGCGATACCTTTCGTATTTTTGTGCAGCCGGAGAGGAGGAAAAGAGGGGCAGGGCCTTGTTTGGGTTTGGGAAACCCCGCTCCTTGTCTTCTTATATTTCCTTCCTTCCTTCTTTCTCTTCCCTCTGTTTGCTCTCAAAGTAGGATTGCCAGAATGTTTACTATGCGATTACATCATACAGTTGGGAGTTTTCTTTAATAATAATAATAATTTATTATCCGCTTCTACCATGGCTCCTTTCCTAACATAAAGAGAGAGGTTGTTTTTGTGTGCATATTATATTACATATAATATATATAATCTCTCTCTCTATATATGCAATATACATAATATATAAAATATAGACACACACACACACACATATATATATATATATTAATGCAGTACATATATAATATGTGTAACATAAAGAGAGGTTGTTGTGTGTGTATATTATATTATATATAATATCTCTGTATATGTAGTATACATAATATATAAAATATAGACATATATATATATATATATATGAATGCAATACATATATATATATATTATATGGGTAACATAAAGAGAGGTTGTGTATGTATATTATATTACATATAATATATATATAATATCTCTCTCAATATATGCAATATGCATAATATATAATATATATATATGAATGCAATATATATATATATATTATATGGGTAACATAAAGAGAGGTTGTGTATGTATATTATATTACATATAATATATCTATAATATCTCTCAATATATGCAATATACATAATATATAATATATATATATATGAATGCAATACATATATATATATATATATATATATATATATGGGTAACATAAAGAGGTTGTTGTGTGTGTATATTATATTACATATAATATATATAATATCTCTATATATATGCAATATGCATATATATTATAGGTGTAACATAAAGAGAGAGGTTGTTTTGTGTGTATATTATATTACATATAATATATATAATATCTCTCTATATGCAATATACATAATATATAAAATATAGACATATATATATATATATTAATACAGTACATATATTATATGGGTAACATAAAGAGAGAGGTTGTTGTTGTGTGTTTATTATATTACATATAATATATATAATATGTCTATATATGCAATATGCATAATATATAAAATATAGACATATGTATATATATATATATATATTAATGCAATACATATATAATATGTGTAACAGAGAGGTTGTTGTGTGTAAAATATATTTCATATAATATATATAATCTCCCTATATATACAATATACATAATATATAAAATATAGACATATACACATATATATATTAATGCAATATATATAAAATGGTTAATCTGTGTATATATCTATATTACATATAGATAATACTGTATATATTATATAAATTATATATATATAATATGTGTATAATATATTGTAAATATACATACACATCTATACTGCATATAGATAATACTGTACATATTATGTAGATAATATATCTAATATGTGTAT